GAGCTGGATAAATGCATTGGCAAAGCAGCTACCATGTTCTCTAGACTCACAAAGAGAATACGGCTTAATAAGAAGCTGAAGTCATATACCAAGATCTAGGTCTATAGAGCCTGTATAGGCAGTGAGTCCTGGACCCTTTGTGCACGGCAGGAGAGGAAGCTGAACATGTTCCATATGCGTTGTCTCCGGCGCATTTTTGGTATCACCTGGCAGGACAAAGTTCCAAATAGAGTAGTGCTAGAATGAGCTGGAATTTTTAGCATGTATATATTATTGAAACAGTGACGTCTACGTTGGCTTGGGCATGTTGTGAGAATGGCTGATGGTCGTATTCCAAAAGATCTCCTGTATGGAAAATTAGTGCAGGGAAATCGCCCCAGAGGGGACCACAGCTGCGATACAAGAATATCTGCAAGCGGGATCTGAAGGCCTTAGGAATAGACTTCAACAGATGGGAAATCCTGACATCGGAGCATTCAGCCTGGAGGCAGGCAGTGCATCACGACCTCTCCCAATTTGAAGAGACCCTTGCCCAGCAGGCCGAGACAAAGAGGCAGTCCTGGAAGCAGCAAAATCAGGGAGCTGGACGGGGACAGATTGTATTTGTCTTCAGTGTGGAATGGGTTTTCACTCTCGAATTGGCCATCTCAGCCACACTAGACGCTGTTCCACGTCCTCCATACAGAGCACGTTACCATAGTCTCTCGAGACTGAAGGATGCCTAACATAACATCATCATCACATCTAGGAGCATCTAATGCATTTCTTACTCTTAATAGTGTGCCAGAGAATCTGTAAACTATCTTTTAAAATCTGAAAAAAGGATCTCAAAGTTTAGTGTGAGGTTTTAAAGAACTGTTCTTAGCATTTCTATGCCTTACTTTTAAAAGCTCATGCATGTGTACATGCATACATAGGCACCCACACATATCACCAACACACACACACACACACACGCGCGCACACACACACACACAATCACCAACACACACACACACACACACACACACACACACACACGTACCACCCTACAGTGGCTAATACCAGATAAGTTCTGATGCTAACTGTAAGTTATTGGAGCAAATAGTGACTTAAGTCGTTGAAGAGATTTAAAAAAACATTTTAAAACATTTTTTAAAAAAACATTTAAAACATTTTAAATGGTTGATTCCCCACCACCACCTACTGGTTTTCCAAAAAGCAAATAAAGAAAGATTCCTCAGTTTTAAATTAACTGTGAAAGCAAACATAAAACATACGTTTTCATTCTTGTTTGTGTTAACAATATCTATAATCTGAAAAATTGTAGAATCTGAAAAATGTGATATTCATCATTTTTGATAATTAGTACAACAGGTGCTAAAATCTACAAGTGAGAAATCTTTCTCAAAATTACTGAATGATACTATGTTTCCCTGCATATTTTTTGCAGAATTTGGAGCAGTAAGTTTATTTTAAACATTCAAAATCTTCCAAATAGCTTACATTATATATATATATACTTTAAAGACTGTAATAAGCCATGAATGTAATGGAAAATATTTATTGATATCAACAATATATTCTGTTTCTATGTTCAAAATGAACATCTGTTCTCCTGAGTTCCTCTTTCTTTTCATGATCACGATATACAATATACGCTACTGTAGACAACTCCAGATGTAGACATTACTTACATGTTTCCTAAGAACAGTACTGAATATAGAGGTGTAATACAAATGCTTAACAATAAGCAGTCTTTTTATATATTCTGAATTTTTGAATTGGATAGCTGAGAGAATGTCCTTTGACAGGCACAAAGGAATTATACAATCAATTGTGTATGGTGTAAACTACTCCTGAACTTTACAGATCTGATGTAAACATAAAACTGTGTAACAGTAATTTTTACTTACATCCAGGAAGGGTCTGTGTAGAAATCCATGGTGAAGAGCTTCCATAACCAGCATTAGTACTAGCGGAGACTCTAAACCTATACCATCTGTATTTATTCAGATCATATACTGTTTCCTCTGTAAAAGCATCAGCAAGATATGAATATTGTTCCTTCTCATATTCAATACATTCAGCTTCCCAGTTATTGCAATGGATAGATCGCAACTGTGTAGTAATCTTGTAGTTTTGAAAATAGCCAAAGATAGCAGCTGGCCTTATCCATCTCAGGGTCACACTAGTTGACTGTACCTTGGAAAAGGCTATATCTCTGGGTGCCGTGGGAACTAAAACAAACACATGAAACAGAGCCAACAATCAAAAATTGTTTACCTCAGCTTACAGAAGGCAGCAGCTTGTATTTAAACAAGGCAATATTAACAAGATGATAAACTAGATGAAACTATGTAAGACTGTACATGGAAGAAATACTCTCAGGATATTGTGCTATGTATAATTGTCTTCTCCCATACAAAATATTAAAAATTACCTATTTTTGGAATGATGCACATTAGCATGTGTTTCCTTTGACAACATGTGTAACTATAACAAATAGGTATCAAGGCAAAGAGGGAATATCAGTCCACCAATACTATGGAAACACTGAATATATGTTAAGGATTTCAGGCAAATCTTCTATTATACCCTATTTCACCGAAAATAAGACCTAACCTGAATATAAGCCCTACTATGATTTTTAAAGATGCTCATAATATAAGCCCTACCCCAAAAATAAGCCCCAGTTAAGTGAAACCCTGCCCTCCACCATTGTGCAACAACCAGAAGAAGATGACATGACTGTATTTGAATACATCTAGATGGTTGTACATGAAAAAAATAAAACATCCCCTGAAAATAGGCCCTAATGTGTTTTGGAGCAAAAAATTAATATAAGACCCTGTCTTAGTTTTAGGGAAACACAGTATATATATATAGGAAGCTCATATGGGGTGATGCAATCCTTCAAATAGCTGTATAGGAAGTAACCAGCACTTTTAATTGAGCCAAGAAACAGACTAGCAGCCAGTGAAACTGTTATGATAAGGTAGTTACATACTTCCTGTAACCAGAGCTCATAATGGAGATTCCATGGGGATGAAACCAAATCCACAAGCTGTACCATTTGGGATTGGCTATCAATGAATTACCAGAACCACAAAGAGAGCAATTCTTGATCTGTAAGCTCAATAGTTTTCTCAGAAAGATACTGTGGTCAATGGTATCAAAAGCTGCTGAAATACAGTGGTGCCTCGCAAGACAAATGCCTCGTGGGATGAAAAACCCACAAGACGAAAGAGTCTTGTGAGTTTTTTAGTGACTCACAAGACGTGTTGTCTTCCAAAAAATTCGTCGTGCTTCCTGGAATGCATTGAAATTTAATTAAGTCCTGCGAGTTTTTTAGTGCCTCACAAGACCTGTTGTCTTGCAAAAAATTCGTCTTGCTTCCTGGAATGCATTGAAATTTAATTAATGTGTTCCCAAGGGGGGGAAAAACTCAGAAACCAAAGAAGTCAGAAAAAAGTCACTTACCAGGTACAAAAAAAAACTCAGAAAACAAAAAAAGTCAGAAAAAGTCACTTACCAGGTACAGTAGACTGAGCCCCGCTCCTCACAGTGCTTTGGTAGCCCCAGAACAGCCAGACAGAGTGACAAACAGCTGAGAGCTGGCAACCAGCAGGGAGGTGGCAGCCATTTCGTGGTCTTCTCTGCTCCCCGCCCCCCCCGCCCCCCGCGCCGCCTTCTCACG